AATTAATTTTAATAATTAAATTTAAATAAAATTTTAATAATTTTAATAATCTTAACAAATATAAAATGGTCAACATAACTATTGGCGGCGAGTGACTCTGGCGCTAACGAATACACCATCAGAGTTCGGAGCAAATTTCATGCAGAAAAGAAAAAAGAGTGGGTTGGCGACTTGGCGTAAAAACAAGGGCATTGGTTTTTTTTTTTTTTTTTTGGGTTACAAAGGCATTAGTATTTATTTATTTATTTTAACTTAATAAAAATTTAAAAATGAAGATTAATAATATTTGAGTATAAAACTAAAAGTTTTTTTCTTTAATTTTTAGTTACATGATTAAAAATAATTATTTTTTATTTTATTTTATTCACATATTATGTAATTTAAATATAAAAAATTTTTAATAAAAAAATTATTATTAAATTTTTTATGAGTCTTTCTAATTTATATTTTAAAAATATAAGTTAAGAATTTAAAAGAAATAAAAAATAATATTTAATTTAATAATTATTAAAATAAATTTATTTATATAATATTAAAATTAAAATTAATATTAATTTTTATATCTTTTATATAAATTTATTAAAAAAATATTTTTAATATGTGAGATAAAGACATATTAAAAAATTCATTATTTATATAATTGTCAAAATTAGAACTTTCTTAGATTAACCATGACCGCAAAGTGTGTGTTGGGTACGAGGGCATTAGTATTGGTGGTAAGGACACCGACAGCTTGCATTAAAGCCACATGTCGGGTCCTAAGCCGCGGCTTTGGCGTCGCACCTTCACATGGCATCGTAACCAACCCACCAAGGGCTTTGAGGCGGCCATGTTTATTATCAAAGTTTCTAGTAAAAAAATAATTTTGAAAGTTCTACATAAAACTTAATGATGAATTTTATAATAAAATTACAAAATTTTATTAAGTTATTAATTTATTTATATTTAAAAAAATTTGATATAAAAAGTTAAGAAATTATTAAGTGAATTTTATTTAAAAAATAAAGAAAAACTTTTTTCTTTTAAAAAGGATAAAAAATTTATAGATTGAAAATTCGTGTAAAAAAATAAAGGTTAAAAATGTTATTTTTATTTTATATTTATAATAATATTAAAACATAAAAATATGTATATTAAATAATTTTAAAAAAT